AAGAGCAATATATAAAAACAGTGGAGTGCAATAGACTGACAAAGACATCTAGATTCTCTGTAAAACGGATGAATGCATGCAACAAGGGAGGTTTACAACCAGGTGTTGAAATTTTAAAGTCTCCCTTCCCTTTGTTAGAGAAAAAAATTAGCTAGCAGTATAGTTAAAAATGTTGTTGACTTATCTTTGCAAGACTGGGGAAGAATCCTAAACACAAACTCAGAACAGTGATTAAACCTAACAAGGAGATTGCTAAAAAGTTGTCTGAGGACCCAAGGAGCAGTACAGTAGGACAGAAAAATCCAGCGCACATAGTTGGGAAAGATTAATGTAGTGACAGGCTTCACGATATCTTTAGAGGGACTGACAGATATCTTTTGGCCAACAACCCTGCTCTAGAAATGCTGTCAATTACATACCTCTGGCTGTCTTATCCTTTAGGTCCACCCCATATTTTGCCAGTGTCCGAATAACATCGCTCTTCCCAGCCATGCAAGTTGCATAGAGCAGATCCCTCCCTACAATATCCTTTTCCATCAGTAGCTCAGTGGCCTTTTCACGATCAGGATCTTCCGGGTCATCAAAAATCTGTTGTACCCCTTCTGTGTTCCCAGTCAGAGCAGCCCTCAGGAGAGGATTGAAAGTTACTGGTTCCTCTTGAGGCCCCAAATCTTCAAGTGTGCTTACTTCCACTGAGCCTGACGATTCTTTCTCTTCTACCAGTTCCATTTCTTTCCAAACAACCTGAGAAGACAGAAGGAACATGGAGTCTCTATAAGCAGACTCCAGATTGAGTGATTTGTATGTAAAGTCTGTCTACCTGAACTTTATACCTCTTTTGCCAAGGCCCTCTTCTGTGATCTGGAGGTCCCTTAAATGTCCTTTCCTTTCTACTGAGCAAGGGAGGAGAATGAAACCCACCCATCCCCAGAAGGACTGTTCTGTTCATCAAAGGAGCATCTGTTCAGATCCCACTTCTGAACTCTGCCTATTCTTAGCTACATTTGGGGTGGAAAGAGGGCACCATGATCCATCCTGTTTCCATTATCCAAGTTTGCCATTCCGTTTACCTGCAACTTCTGGCAGTGAGTATAGAATAGGACAGTCAACTTAGGGAAAATGCTGTCTTGTATAGACTTACTATGATAGGCACTCTACTTTCCTGATAGCATTATTTGAAAGCATTACTGGAGTAATAATTGTTCTACAAAATACTTTTGGAAGTGGCCAAAGAATAAAAGGGAAGTCTTGATTATTCACAGTTGACTGTCTGGGAACCAATCAACTGAGAAAATAAAATATAATGCCATTTGCATTCTCCGACACCTACGTAAAGTTCCAACATGTGACTTTTCTACCATGACAATTTACTTCCCTTCCAGTTTAGTTCAAATATACCCTCTTATCATGAGAAAAATCCAGATTAAGAACAACAGGTTTAAGGGGTTTTTTAAACTAAGATTTTTATTGTTTTCCACAGTGTCTCATTGGCTGATACTGCTTAGTATCTGCCTATGCCCCTCATGAAAGCTTATACCCAGAATTAAACTTTGTTGGTGTCGTGGGTCTTGGCTCTGCTGAGGCTGACTATTTCTCAGATGAGGAAGAGGCATGGAGCAACCCAGCCTCCTCTGGAGTCAGTCCAGAAGAGGAACCTTTACCAGCACCTGAGGGAGAAGAGGCCCCAGCATTTGCACAGGAGGGGCAGCAAGGCGAAGAGACTGAGGTGCAGTCAGAGGGAGAGACTGGTCCAGAGCCTGGCCCAGCAACCCCAGTTGGAGACACCTCGAGACCAGAATCCCCATCTAGCTCACCTGAATGTCCCAGAATCAAGGCACGTCAGCATCTGAATGTGCAAGAGAGGAGGAGGAGTGCTAGACTTCAGCTGTTGCAAAGGCAACATGAGGGGCTGTGAGTCTTTGCAGATTGCTTCCCAGGGAAGAGAGGCTCCGGTCATAGGCAACCATGCTCACCTGCCTTGGCATGGAAGCAACCGTGCGTTCTCGGACCTTGTACCTGCTGTCAGCCTCCGCTCCTTGCTTCTGAGAACTCTGACTGATTTCCCAGCATTCTGACCTTCAGCTCTGTTTCTTGGCTTGCTTTTGGACTGTGCTTTCAGTGAAAGGTATCCGTGGCGACCAGCCAGACCCAGCACAGTTGGTCTTAAAGGTGCCACTGAACTCAAACTTTGTTCTGTTGCTTTAGACCAACATGGCTACCCACCTGAATCTAGAAGAATGATGTTCCTGATCATGGCAAACTAGGAAGACATGGCAAAATGGCATGTTCCTGTGCACTTACCCCAAGGACAAAAAAAGGATAGCAGCTATTAATCACTGGCCCATTTGTTATTTTTGTGAACATTTCATATGTTGGAAATTCTGTCCGTAATAAAACATTTACCATAAATTGTTTGCCTGTGTTTTTCAAAACCAGAATTATTATCCAACCTAGTTTAAATCAATTTGGATTAAAAATGTACATTCAAAGGGGAAAGTGCTTCTGTGGGATGCAAACAATAGCAGCAAATATGCTCTATATCTCCAAAGGGTTAACAAATAAAGATATTTTCCCTACCAAAATGCAGCATGAATTTTGTCATATTTCCTCTGAAAACTGAAATCGCTATGTAAAACAACTGAGGGCTATAACGACTATCGGACATTAGTTAACTGTTTTCTACCTTTCTATTTACTAATTGGAATTCTTCTCTTACAGGATTAAAACCAACCGAGGGATGGGTTCATTTTCTGCCAGTGAAACTGCACACAGGAGAAGGGCTGGGCCTCCTCTTCTCCTGCACTGTAACCCTGGTGCCGATTGACAGTGTTACACCTTTCTAAGACCATTGAATATAATGGACTTACAAGGATGTAACTCTGCTCAGGATGGCATGGTGAGTCTCCCAAGTAGCTATTATTGTTATTTTTAAATTACTTAGAAGATTGAAACCCCCATGAAAGTTTCTTTTAGTAGAGATCAGTGTCATTATGATTTCAAACGTTTTGCAGTGCCTTTATCCTGATTTTTATTATAGTTAGTTACTTGCAGGTTTTAGTTTGTAATCCACCTTGGGTCCCTTTGGGGAGAAAGGTAGAGTGGAAGTAAAGTTAAAAAAAAAGTAACAGTGTGATTGCATATCTAGGATTAGCAAAACAAATAAATAAAAAATCCTAGCAGCTCAGAGAGCTGTCAAGCGTGCGGCATGGGAGGTGAAGGGTGGGCCTGGTTAGGGGTGGCCAGATGTCCTTATTTTTGGAGAGCTGTTCTCTGAAATGTCCACGTTCTGCTTCTGTTCAGTGCAATCAGTTGAAGTGGCTAACAGTTATAATCCTAAAAACACTTTAAGGAGAGTAAATCCCATGGCGTCGACTTCAGTAGGATTCTGAGCAGACCTGTTTAAGATGAAATAGCACTGTTGATTACTGCACAGTTACAGGCTACCCTGAGCAACCTATAATAGGAAGAGGGCCTGCTAAAGTTAAGGCTTTTGAGGGCAACTGATGTGAATAAGCCACAAGAAAGGAGAGCTGGCAGGAGGGGCCTTGAAAAGTCCCCCAAAAGTAGTCAGCACTTGGATAGCAGAGAGAGGGTGAGATGCATTTTTATTCAAACTATAGTTTAAATCTACATCTGTGAACGTAAATTAGCATATGCAATTATCTTGCAAATAAGGTAAAGGTAAAGGTTCCCTTGCTCGAAAGCCAGTCGAATCCGACTCTAGGGTTGCGGTGCTCATCTCCGTTTCAAAGCCGAAGAGCCAGCGCTGTCCGAAGACGTTTCCGTGGTCATGTGGCCGGCATGACTAAACACCAAGGCGCACGGAACGCTGTTACCTTCCCACCGAAGTGGTCCCTATTTATCTACTTGCAATTTCTTGCTTTCGAACTGCTAGGTTGGCAGGAGCTGGAACTAGAGACAGGAGCTCACCCCGTCTTGCAGCACCCGGGTCTTGAACTGCTGAACTACTGACCTTCCACAGCCTGCAGTTCAGCGTCTTAACCACTTGAGCCACCGCAGCTCCTATCTTGCAAATACTGTTCTCTTTTTTGGTCACCCTAGGCCTGGTTAGGCTCCCACAGTGGACTGATATGTCAGGAAGGAAAGTTGTAGTCCAGGAAAATTATGCAAGTTGTAAGCTAGGCAAGTGCATATTTATTTATTTAGTACATTTTTACCCGGCACATCTTCCAAGGAGCTCAGGGCATCAAACATGGTTCCCTCCCTCCCCTCCTCCATTGTGTCAGCCCCTTGAAGTAGGCTAGGCTGAAAGAATAACTAGTTTGCTGAGATCACCCAGAGAGTCATGGTGAGCAGGTGAGTGTGGACTTGAACCCGAGTCTCTTAAATTGTAGAGATTGTGCACCCCTCTCAACTGCCGGTGTGTGTATGCCAGTAACAAGTATGCATGAATAGGAGTCACTGAGACACAGGTTGTTTTGTTCTGCTACCAAAAACATTTCAAGCTATCTGCTTCCCAGCAGTAGAGTACTTGGCTAGGGAAAAGGCAGTACCAAAGAATTTGTATTATCCTGACCTGTTACTCCTTTAAGTTTGTCTAATTATTGGAATAGGCTGGTGGTGTTACGTTAATGATGATTGAATGTAAAGGCTTGCTTTGAACGTGCAACTAATTGTTCATCTTGAGAAGCTCTCATCAGTATTCTGAATGTTAATATGATAAAAAAAATGACGTTAAATAAAGAATTTGATTTAAAAACAAAAATAAAAAAAACAACCACAACAATAATATCGGTTGGGGAGGGGGGATACCTTATAGGAAGAGAGTAGGATTTCAGTCGTCCTTTCCCCTACCTTCCCCCCGCTCCGAGTCTCTCGCTTCTAGCTACAGGGCCACAGGCGATGCTGTCGCCATAGTAACGGCACAGAGTTGCCAAAGGTGGAACTCGGGCGTATGCGTACGAAGTTCCTCCACGGATCGCTAACAGGAACGGACGAGTTCCGGCTGACGGAGAACACAGGTGGGGGGGAGGGTGTGAACGGGCTACGGGCAGTTTCCGGGGCTTATAGGAGCTGCGGGTGCGCTAGGAGAAGCCAGGAAACAGCGGATCTTCTCCCTTTTCCTCTCCCCACCTCTTCCGTCAGTGGTAGAGCCGGTGGTGGGCACCTTCGGTCCTCGGCAACACCAAGGCGGATGTTTCTGTAGACATAAACTCCCATTCTCAGCTAGAAGGTCCGTTCCGGGGTGGTGTCGGAGTGAACAGGGTGGGAATATAAAGGGATGTAAAATGGGGAGGGGTTACGTTATAAGAGCCTTGCTGGATCGTCGTGCCAAATTCTGTTTCCAACCGTAGATAAGGGGGGAATACTTCAGGAAAGCCCTCGAGCAAGATACCAAGGCAATGGCGTTTTCCAGCAACTCTGATTCAGAGGTATACTGCCGTTGTACGTGAAGGTTCCATTTCTAAATAGCCGATGACGGATCCATTAACGAAAAGAGCTGCCTAAGCCAATGGCTGTTATCGTGTGGCATTGTATGTGTTAAGTGCCACAGACTTTAGGAGGGTGTGGTGGTGGTGATGATGAAGCAAGGAAGGTAGTGAAAGGAAATCTAGTGGATTGGGGAAAATAGTCAGAAGAGATGCTCAGATTTAAGTGCTATTGGGGGTGAGATTACTGTGTGAACGGTATTTGGCAAAAGAAACATGCTCTAGCATGACGGTTGGAAATAAATAACTGGGGTTATGGTCAGACTCTTTGGATACATTAATTTTACACTTTTAAGAAGTCTTTTGCATATTTATTGCTTTTTGTTGGGTAGGCAGGGCTGAAACATTACTACCAGTGAATATCTCTTCCATGACTGAGATGGTGTATAACAAAATATGAGTCCAGTAGCACCTTAAAGACCAATAGATTTCTCCAGGGTATAAGCTTTCATGTGTCACTTTGTCAGATACCCTCATTAGGTGGCATATGAGTGTGCCCTTTTTCCCTGCATATTGACCAGAAGTGCAGTCCCATGCAGAGTTAATCCAGTCTAAGGTCATTGAGTTAGATTGGAGTAACTAAGCAAAGGACTGCAGTGGAGGTATCCAATGTTTTCATCTCACATGGATCAGTGTTCCATCTAGGTGCTTGCTTATATAAACTAAATTTTATTCCAACACTGGAGAAAGTCCTCATATTCTAAGCACAAGTGTTTTATTTGAGAGATACTTTTTGAGTTTAAGGTGATAAAAACTCTTTCAGACTCTTAAGTGATATAATCTAATTTTTAGGTTTACCTGCAACCATTAGTCATTAGGATTCCTTTTTTTTTTAGCACATGGATAAGATGAGTTGAAGTCAGGAATTTTTTATTTACCAGGGCTTGTGACTCACCTCCACTCCATCACCTGGTGAGTAACTGTCATTTTGTTTACCCACCTTTCTCTACTTTGATTTCTTTATATCCCATTTATAATTAAACTGAATCTTGAGCATTCTGTAACCATAATGAGATATGGGAGTTGTGCTTGGAAGTTATTAATGAGCATACAGTGAAATGTCTGGAGTGTGTACTACTAAGCTTTCACCATGGAAGGATTTTAAAAAATGTTTTTGATAGTGTTTTATTGTGTATATATAATGTACTTAAATTTGCAGCCTTAAATGCATATATGTCTTATAGATGGCAGTGATGTAGGTGGCAGGGATAAATCACATTGGAAGTAGAATTCAGCACTTGAAAAATAACTGAAACTCCACAGCATTCAATTAAGCGCTTGTTTTGCTGTCCTGGCAGATCTTTGGATCTGTCAGTTACGTAAATATAAACTGTTAATGATTGGCAAGGTTATTACACACTGCTTTTTCCTCCCTTCAGGTCTGGCATAGACGCGTAGGGCAAAAACTTCTCTTTGCAGTGCATGGACGGAAAGCCAATGCGCAGGTAAGATGCAAAATGAGAAATTATCTGAGCAGACATTGGTTCTGCTCAGCCAGTACTGTAAGCTGAAATCCTTTGCACTGGAAGGTAGACAGAAAGCTAATTCCATTTGATACAGAAAGTAATTGCAGTGGCTGCATTTGGAAGGTGGTGATGAAAAGTACCATCAAGTTGCAACTGACTTATGGCGACCCCTCATGGGGTTTTCAAGGCAAGAGACGAACAGAGGTGGTTTGCCATTGTCTTCCTCTGCATAGCAGCCTTGGTGGTCGCCTATTCAGGTACTAACCAGAGCCGACCCTGCTTAGCTTCCGAGATCTGACAAGATCAGGCTAGCCTGGGCCATCCAGGTCAGGGTGAATTAGAAAGATACTCTCAACCAGTTAGGAGTTCCTAGAGCTGTGCTATTGGTTCCCAATGACCAATTGGGATATTTTCTGGCTAGTGCTGTGTGATGATCTAGAAGCTAGTTGACCATGGCTGTGGTAGCAGTAAGAGCTCTTGCCCTTTGAAAGAGAGGACACAGATTGTGTTCCCTTTCCGTGAGGTGCAGAGGTCCCATCCCCATTCCTAGAAAACTTGAGAGGGATCCGTTTTCATTTTAGCTGGATGGGTGGGAGAAGAACTTGCCATCTTGCCCCGATGAACGACTTGAGAACTCTGTGGAGTACCCTTGCATGCTCCCAGGGGTTCATGGAGACCTGTCTGAGAAACTGTTTTATCTTACAACATAGGCTACCTGGCAAGGCATAGTCTTGTATGCAAGATTGTGAGCTGCTATCAAAAGATATTGGCAGGTGAACACAAAACAATCTGGTGGAAGCCTGCATAGAATCCATTACGATATCCTGTCTGAGCCTTACGAAGTCTAGGAACCAACTGTATGAGCTCTGGTGAATTTATTTTTTATTTATTATCAAATTTATACCCCGCCCTCCCCGCAAAGCAGGCTCAGGGCGGCTTCCAAATGCCATAAATACAGGCTTAAAACATACAATAATTAAAACACAACAGTTAAAAACGATACAAAGCAAAGTGCTGGCAGCAGTTAAAGATTCACTTAGACGGAATGCTTTCAAATGGATTTCCAACTATCTGAAAGTGCTTAGATGTTCTTCTGCTCGTCGACTTTTATGGCAGCTGCTCAATGGTAAAGTTACGGGCCGGGTGCTACAGCAGTGGTGGCCCCTAATTAAATGCCTGGTGGAAGAGCTCCATCCTGCAGGCCCTGTGGAACTGTGAGAGGTCCCGCAGGGCCCTAATCTCCTCTGGGAGCTAATTCCACCAGGTAGGGGCCACCACCAAAAAGTTCCCGGCCCTGGTAGCAGTTAACCTGGCCTCCCTCGGGCCAGGGAGGGTCAGCCGGTTTTGAGACCCAGACCATAGTGCTCTCTGGGGTATATATGGGGAAAGGCGGTCCCGTAGGTATATTGGACCCCGGCCATATAGGGCTTTAAAGGTAAGAACCAGCACCTTGAAGCAGATTCGGTATGCTATTGGCAGCCAGTGCAGTGTCCTCAGCACAGGCCGGATGTGCTCCCATCTAGGGAGACCCATCAGCAGCCTGGCCGTGGCATTCTGCACTAGCTGTAGCTTCTAAATCCACGACAAAGGCAGCCCCATGTAGAGAGCGTTACAGTAGTCTAGTCTCGAGGTGACCATCGCATGGATCACTGTAGCCAGGTCAGGATGGTCAAGGAAGGGAACTAACTGCTTAATCAACCTAAGATGATAAAAGGCCGACTTAGCAGTGGCCGCTACCTGGACCTCCATGGTAAGGGAGGGATCCAGGAGCACTCCCAAACTCCGAACCTCCGACGCTGGGCATGCCCCATTTTGTCAGAAGTCTGTATGGCGCAATATGAGTGTTCTGCTACCAGTAATCAGCTGAACTTCCCAGTTTTTTCTGTTGTGTTAATTTGAGGGTAGAAGAGGTGTAGGCTTTTTCTTTGCCTTGTGAGCAGAAATTGTTGTTAGAAACAGCAAACATTCCTAGGAGTTCTCATGAGCTTTGTCATTTTTAAGATAATTAGTAATCCTTTTACAAAAATACATTCGAAGCTATGGGAAAGCAGGCATACAAATTAGCTGTTCCATTCTTTTCACTTTCTTAAATGAACTGCTTTTGCAAGAACAGCTGACAAGATAGGAAGGCAAATGTATATATATATACACACATATATACATATAGAACTGGTTTTGATTATTGGGGAGCAATCTTTCATTAAATATTGCCCAAATTAAAAGGTTTCAAATATATCTGATACGTGACGTCACTAAGAATGCCATTATATGCTAGCAAGTGAATCATGGGCTTATTAAATGCTTAACTGTTGTCATTCGTACTAGACAAAAGGCATGGTTTTTGAAACTGGCAACATGCCCATCAAAATATCATGTGGAAATACAACGCTGTCTGGGAGGCAGACAGGTTAACCAATATCACCTGAGCAGTGGTCTGTTATCTGATACATGCTGCAATCCTCAGCACGCGTACCTGGGAGTAAACCCTATTGATCATCGCGGGATTTGCTTCTAAGCAGACATGCATAGGATTGGGTGCTGATGAAGCACTGTTGAAACTGTTTCAGCCAGAGATAAAGCAGTATGAAACTGAACATGTTCTATCGCTGGCATCTCACACTGCTGACAATGAGTCATTTGTACATTTTTGTCACAAAATGCGCTAGAGGAGCTGTGATTGCTCTGGCACACTGTTGGATGTGGTAGCTTTTTCATTCCGTTTCTAATTTGTAGGCAAAGTCACTGGACATAAGCAAAATCACTGGACAGGTAGTGTAGCGTGAGGGCTGGCTTTATGAAGCATTTTTTGCTGATGTTCTAAAACGCCTAGCTTGTAAGGGTTTTGGAAGTTACTCTCTCATCATCAGTTCTCTTAGCATCAGCTAAAACTGCTAACCTTCCTATTGGTTCATTTTGGTTTCTTAGGGTCTGGGATATAGCAGTAATGGTGAAATTGGCATTTCAGATTTTGTCTCATGGGATTAGCTAAACACCAGATATTCTTTGCTGAATGGCATCTTTCTTGCAAAGGAAACTGCCTCTCAGCAGGGAGCAGTTGAATGTACTTCCTTCTGAGTTAGAATCATAGAAGTGGAAGGGGTCATACAGGCCATCTAGTCTCATCCCCTGCTCAATGCAGGATCATCCTAAAGGATCCCTGACCAGTGTTCATCCAAACACTGCTTGAAGACTGCCCTTGTGACTATGACAGTGACATAGTTGTGTGACTATGATTTTATCTCCAATTTTCATCTCATTTGTCAAAAGTATAATGCCATTTTTCCCCCCCAAGGTGGGTTTTATTGCCAGTTTTTCTTGCACTGTTATCCATTTGGTATTTTACCCCTTGGCATATTAAACAATATTTAATTTAGAACAAATTCTAGGAGTTATGCTGAGGAGTTAAGCCCCTTTCCACATAGGTAACAACGGTCCATATGAAATTGCTTCACAATAAGACTCTCCCAGATCAAGAACAACTTTGTGCCTGAGACTACCTGAACTTAATAACCTTAACTTCAGAGTCTGGTGGATTCTTGAGCTGTTAGCTGAGACATTCATGTGCTTCCTTTCTCTCAGAATATGGGCATTGCTTCAGAAAAAAGAGAAGCCCCTTTGGTTGCTGTGGAAAGGAAATGGCAGAATCCTTCCATCTCCCCTGATAGTCATAGATTAGCTATGGTCTTGTCTGTGGTGCTCTTCCTGGACTAGCAGGGACACTTGGTTTTGTTAGATGCATAGGAGTGCAAGGCTCCTGTATTTCTGATAGTTGCATAGACAAGGGAATTTTGGAAGGTGCAGCGCATCATGTTATTACGGCGAGAAAAGCTGCACTGAACCCGATGCATCTTGTCATCCTGTGGTCATCTGTTTCTAAATTGTAGGGTGATGTCAGTACAAACACAGCAGAGAGAGAGAGAGAAAGGTGTTTTTGTGACGACAACCCGTTCCTGACGTATGCATTACTCAGATGCACCACTTCTGACCCGTGCGGTGATTTTAATCAGAGCCTTGTAAAAATGCTGCCTGCATTGCTCAGATGGCTGCCTCTTCGATGCTTGTGATAACGGGCAGGGAGCGTGCATAGCCAAGTGCAGCACTGCATAGGATGCATATGATTTGGGGCTTTGCGGTGGGTGGGTGTTTCAAATTCCCACTGCCCTTTTTTCCAGTGCCTGGCCTCCGTTTTTCATGCCTGTTCTCCATCCATGCATTTAAGGATGGGCTGTAATCCCAGAGTGTCTGAGTAACTGAGTGAGTCTCTCTCTCTTTCTCTCTCTCTCTCTCTGCATATATAATTTCTCTCCAGTCTCCCACTTGGCTCTCAGGAGCCACTTGTCTGCAAATGGGGGGGGGGGGGGGGGGTTACCCACAGCTTAGCAAGTCAAAGTCCAAGGCTGGAAATCTTGTGCACTTACAGAATTCTGTGTGCTTAATATGGACAGGTGCCGTTAACTTAGCCATCACTGCGATTGACAGTATCTTCTTAAATTTGTGTTTCTGAATTCTCAGTCTCCAGTATGTAAAAGTCAATTAGCTGCTCCTTTTCCGTTCTGGAGAGATGGGCCTATAAGGAGTTGTTCCCAACAGGATGAGTCAGGCTCTGCACATGAAGTGGAATTTTCCTACTTTCCTCCTCCTGCTGCACACACTGCTGCACCCTCCACGGGTGTATTTGTATAGGGCTACATGCAATGTGGGGGGTATGCAATGGCAGAGGGAAGCAGTGGAAACTCCCCTCTTGCTGGTGGAAAACAAGCACTGAATAAATCCCAGTGCTGTTAAAATCTGTCATATTAGTCCTTCTGAAAGACCTTGGTACAGACTAAAATGCAATATGCCGAGCTACCATCTCTTCCATCATGGCCTGTACCCAAAGTTGTCCCCCAGTCAGAATGGCTTTTGGCCCAACCAGAGCATGCTTATTTGGAGGTTAAGTGCGACTGAGTTCTATGGGACTCATTCCACATTCGATATTG